TATATGTGGGTAAATATTGAGCTTTCTAATATTAGAGCTATTTATCTCAGTTAAATATCCCTTTCTAATTGAATATTCCATACATAAACAGATCCCCATATCATTTTGATGAACCTTTTAATTTTACTAGCAACAATTATTAAAGTGTGAAAGGAAATACCAAAACTTAGGAAATATCACGTCTGAGAATTAAGTTGTTATATACTCTTGTACTAAAATTTAAATTTCTATAATTTAATTGCTTTACTTTTGAAATCAAGCATTTATACCCCTTTGAGAGTTCTTACCTCAGGGGAAAACTAATCTAGTTTTGTCCCTGCTTGTTGCGATAGTTTGAATATTTCCTAGATTACTTTCAACGGCAGCTCCAATACAATCGCATCAATTCACAAGCTCTAACTCGCAGTTTTATGCTACCTATGAGGAAGTCATCCGAATATTAGATCCCAATTAGTATAAATTAATTAATTTTGTACGCTCACATATTTGATTTATTTACGAGCAAAAACGAAAGGTGCTCATTTTTGAAGTGTGAATAATATTTCAGTGTGTACCGTAGAAACAATGATGAAAGGAGATCATTTGTTAGCAGTCATGTAAACAATACAAGTGTATGTAAATTAGCATATCAATAGGGAATCGCAGAGAACACTTGGTATTGTTCAGTAAATAAAAATGTCTTCCTCAAGCGTCATGTTTTTCATTTCAGAACAAAAGACAAATGTATCTACAAAAACGAGGATAACATCTTCAAACAAGCAAGCTGGAATTTAAATATTTAAATAAAAAAAATAATATACGAGTATTTCTCCCCATAGCACATCAATCACAGTTTTAACTGTTTTCATGTTAAATAAATAAATAAAAGGATATCTACCATTGCATTAGACATTCAACAAACTTTTCAAAATCTCTCTTCACTGACTAATGAATAGAAAGAAAGACGAACGGACATATGTTTGTGAAATTGAACGGTAACAAGAAGCCATGTATTTCTACGTCAAAATCTCAAAAAATTGAAATTGAGACAAAAATAAGATGAAAATGAATAAATGAGTGTTATTTTAAGATTTCTTTAAATATGCGTCGATGAATTAACCCTTCCTTTAGAAAGAGGTAAATTGAGTATTTCAAAAATAAAAATAGCTGTCGTAAAGAACAAGTAAATGAACTTTGAATCATAGTGAGCTTCTATTAAAAATATTTGAAGTTAATATAAAATAAAAGTAAAGAAGTGTGCTACGCTAATCTATTCATGAGATACAGCCTCTTGTCTAAAACCTAAAGCTGCAAAAAATAGTATTCTGGTCTGGGATTCACACCTACGTGTGGCGAGCAAATAACCTATCTACTAGACCACCTGGCTGATTGCCAATAAAAATGCCTCGATGCATCTAAAAGTAAGTTAAATTTTTGTAATATTGAAGTTTTACATATTTTATGAAAATTAGACGTATGTCTTCTTATTAAGCAAATCTTGACAAATTCGAGCAAAAAATGTAAAAAAAACAACAATCTCGAGCCGTTTTAGAGAAACTCTAGTTTTTTAAATTGTTACGATTTTACTAAAAATTTAAACAATAACTACTCATATTATAAAAAATGTTATATGAAATCATTTAAAGATGTAATTTTTTAAGAACAGATTTCATTAGGGATAAATTATTATCTAAAATAATGCAGTTATAGGAGAGCGTCCCAGAAATTATAAACGTTTACAATTTTCGAAAATTTTGAGATTTTACTGAAAAAGGGACCGGTGACATTTTTTATAAATGTACTATTCTATATGTACTATTTCTATAAATGATCTATTCAAGGATAAAAAAATAAAAATGAAAGCTGTTTTGGGGAAAAATTCAAAAATGTCTTCACGGTTTCATGTGAAGAAATTGATAAATTAATTAAAAGATCCGTGTCAAATTCGCGGGACCGCGATACCAGGCATATTAATCAGAGAATATTAATTTGATGAAAATCTGGTTTATGAACTAGACAGACAGACAGGGAGATACACATTTTTGAAAAAAAAAACGTTATTGGTATTAAGCACCGCCAAAATGTGGATTCATGGTACCTATGTTATGACTCGTGAAAGTAAGTTTTAGAAATCTCATTTCTATATAAAATTAGTTATTGCATTCTACTAGTACGTAGATTTTAAATCCTAAAAATGTCAAAGTATTGCAGCAGCGATTTGGAGGAAAATTTTCAAGTAACACAACTCTTGAAGATTGATCAAAGTATTTGAGTACCGAAGAAAGCAATGACTTGGTCTCATATTCTGAACTACTTTCATTTCTCTAACAAAAATCGTATAATTAACTTCAAATTAGTGGTTAAATTAAAATTAATACCTTAAATTAATTTAATTTTAATTAAATGTTTAGATTAAGATCTATAGAATTTCCTTAATATGCTGTGTATCACTTTGTACAAAAATCAGACAAATTGAACAATTTGTCAGAAACCGAATAAACCTGCAAATATATCATAATTGAATATAATGTTTTAAATAAAATTAATTTGAAAAATCCAAATTCGAAGTCTTAGATGACTGTTAGTTTATAAAATTCCATAAAAATTAATAGTCATTTTTAATTGACCTTAATATCGTATATAACCTGTACATATATAATTTCGATGCATAAGCCATTCGATGCATACACCAAACTATAACACCTACGACAGTGAAAGATGTCTCGTTCAGTGTGTTCTGAAGCTAAGACGTGCGCCAAATTAAAAATAAATATATAATTTTTTTACAGGAAAAGTATTACTTGTGTTTTGAGACGGCAAAAGTGGGAAAACTAACGACAATAGTACTTCGTTCACTGTGAATCTGTTCCGGATTTAGGTGAATCAATAAGTGAAAGGAAACACAATGATAGTTGGTTATAGAAAGAGCGAAGCATTAGTTTTTCGATGTCATCATGTTGTAGAAAGTTGCCAAGACTGTGAATTTATTTTGTATTGGTAAATGAGTCTCTTATAGGATACTCAAGAAGGTGAGGTGAACTTTTGGCAAAAGATCAGAAATCAGAAAGCAAAAGGTCGGTGCTTCAATTCCGTATTCACAACAAATTATAGAGCTAATAGCTCGTCTTAGAACGAATACCTGAATCTGCAGAACATTGTAGGTTTGTTGATGATTTTTACTCATTGAAGGCCAAGACATTTTAAAAGTTATATGAAAAGTGCATTTTAACAGTTGTTGTCACAAGCCACAATAGTTTATTTGAGTATTTGCAGGCATTTTCTTCATTCCCGTTTCTCCAATTGTATCGCGTATTTTCAGTAACCTCATATTCATTAAACATGACGGGTAATGATCGAGATTTCATGAGTCAAGTTCAAAATTAAACAATGGAAAATAATTTGCCTATTTCCACCATTCTAAGCAACGTTTCCAGAAATTGCTTGTTGAGCAGCAGGACACTCGAGTTGCTATTTAAATTTTAGCATATTTAAAACAATGAACATTATCTTACAGAAAAAATTAAAAGTTTCAGCATTTCGTCGTCAGCCAACCAATTAACAAAACCAGCTGATAAACCGGGCATAGTTTCAAGAGTTTTCACCTTAAAATTGAAAGAACGTAAATAAGACATACTCAAAAGAATGTTTTGGGAAAGTTCCCGTAAGTGCATTTGCTAAAATTTCAAAAGACATGATTGCGTCATTGTCAAATGATAATGCTTCTTCATAATGCTTCTAATGACTTGAAGCCAGAAGACATTGAAAAATTTTTGTGAGCTGAACTACAGACTGCAAATACTGAATGTCAGATCAAGGCCCGAACTGCGATTTAGCGCCACCGCAATGAAAGAAAATAATGTTGTCTATGAGTGTTTTAATTTGTCGCTCAGTAGATCAGTTTTTTCTGAAACTGGCAAATACTATTAGTATATATCATCGAACCTATGTAATTTATCATACGTAAATGTTAAATTTATCCCGCCATCTTTTAATTTTAATATCTAAATGCGTGAGAAATAATGCATTAGACGTTATCGTATAATCTAATCGCGAGGAAAAAGCTTAGTAATTTACGTTTTTTCACCATCAAGTCTAGAAATACATTTCGAAATAAATAAACATAGCAAAAGAACAAAATTAAAATAGCAATTTCAATATTTGCATCTACAAAAGTATATCAAAAATAATATAAATTTTCAAATTCGAAGAAATAAATTAAAGTTAAATATTTGCCCCAAAACTTTTTTTTTGTTTTTCGCAATATTAAAAGGAAACTTAGAAGAAAACTGCTTTTAAGCACAGTCGTTATAGCAATCAGAGAAATGAACTAAAATGCATTTCGTTGCCACACCCACCGTCTGGCGTGAAGATGTTGAGGTACAGGCAATCCCGTTCAGTTTTTGCAAGGATATCTTGCATGCGGTCGTGATTTTTGAAGAAGGAGTGCGTGCGCTCTAGATCCTTCATATCCTGAAGGCACGCAGGAGGCCACTGCGATGAGTCGGCCGGCTCGTCCAGCTTTGGCAGCATGGTCATGTTGGGCGGCTTGAAATTGTCGATCACAGAGGCGTACTTGATCTTCAGGTAGATGATAGCCTTTTGATTTCGTAGTACCTGCAACATAACATGACATTTATTATTATTATTATTATTATTATTATTATTATTATTATTATTATTATTATTATTATTATTACCATCATTATTATTAATAGTAGCATTATTGTTATTACTACTACTATATATTGGTTTTAGGAACATAAATGGCAAATCATTTACGACACATGGACCTTCAACTGTTCTATTTTATTTCGACATTTCGTAGTTGCTTTTCACCCCACAATTTAACATCCTGCTGCCATAATTTACTTGGTCCTAAATTCAATTTAAAATATTCATCAAAGGATTTCAGGACAAATAATTAAATTATAATACTTTTTATATGTGTAAAGACTGGAATCAATAAGAGCATTTTACTTTTTAGAGTTGAATATTGACGGGTTGTAGTTAAAATAAGCAAGTGAATTGCTTTATATGGTCACATCGTAATCCTACTTAATGTACCTTTGAAGGGTTTGGTAACCACAGCCCAAGACACCACCAAAATTACATGGTAAGTTTTCATTTAAACAAAATGATCCACAAAAGGATCTCAAAATTCACATTATTAAATTTTGTATATTTAATGACACCGGTCTTGTCTCATCAGCATCTTGACAGCTGCCATTGATCGCAGCCCAGAATAAATTTTTATTTAATTCTCTCAATTTTCGGTGTCCTAATGGTACAACCGAAATGTTACTTTAAGAATATTATAAAAAAGTAAATTATCGTCCTATATGAATTTTTTTGCGGAAAAATTTGGAGCCGTATATAAGAAAAGGTCGTTAAAGCGTAACTGTTAATGCGAAATTTAAACCTCTCTCCGAAAACGTTTGAAGTTTTCGAGAAACGTTGCAAGACATTTAAAACACATGTACTCATAAATGCCATAACGTTTACAAATTGCTAGTAATGTACATATAAACGACGTGAGAGAGACGTCAAAAAATTACAATTGTGTACTTAGAAACAAACAAACAAACAAAAAATAGGTCAAAATGATTTTATGTTGTCTCATACTGTACATTTAGCACAATCCTTATTAAAAGTTTAAAGAAAAAATTTGAAGCGGTTTTTCAGTAATTTTTGTCTTTAATATTTTTTAATATTGCATTTATTCCACTCAATATTGCGCGAAAGCTACTAAAATTTTCGAAAAAATGTACACGACCTTAATGAAAAAATTAATTATGGAGTACAAATTTTTAATTATATGAAGAAAAATCTCTATCTTCATTTTTGTAATTGTATCAAGAAGCCGAAAAAATTCAAGTGATGCAATTATCAAAAATTCGGAGTTAATATTCAAAATCGGTCCTACGCTGTCTTTATAAGCGTATTTTACTCTATTATTACAAGAAATTTAAAGAAAAAAATGAATTCAATTTTCAAATTATTCCAGGGGCTTCATGTAAAGTACTCTCCAATGTTATAGAATGTTATTCAAAATCGCATAGCTTGGAGTGAGGCCAGAACGATTGGAGAGAGTATTCAGTTTAGAAAATATCCTCTATATAGTTTAGGCGTTAGTGTTGTTCACAGAAGACAGACAGCCGGACAGCCCGACGGATGTTTTGAAAAAAACACTTTTTCGGTATCCGGGAACCTCAAAACGTGTATCTGTTGAAATCTCGGAATCAATTTTCCGCAGCATTTCATAATTTATCTATGTATATTACTCCGTATAAATGTAAGTAACGAAGAAAATAAAAAGACATTTTAAATTGTTACTGAATAATAATTTTAGGCAAAATAGTCAATTTCTCAGCGAGTGAGTGTGGTGTACGGATACGAAAAACCGCAAATCGCAATTGACATTGAATTTAATATTATTAAAGCAATACCATCGAATTTATGTATTCAACAATTTATCCAATAATTTCCATTCTGAGAAGATTCTTGGGAAAGTAAAGTCACCCTTCTCACACTTGTAGATAATTTTTTATTGGGTTCCTTTCATCTCCAGAAAGTATGAGTACTCTGATGACGTTATACCCAACTCTCCTGCTGTCACGTCCGGATAATATAATCCTGTTGCAATGATTTGTGCAATGTTCATATCACATTTAGAAAAATAAAGACACAACGAATCATTTTCTGATATGTTAATATTAGTTTTCAACATGAAGCTTTATTTATATACATTTATTGATATATTGAAATATAACGTAAAAATTAGAAAAAAATATATATTGTTCTCTTTTTAAAAATTCATTGCTTGTAATATTAAATGTATTTATTATTAAATGTTATAAATTGTAACAAGACAATGATATGAAAAGTAATCCATTATGTACATTTCCTTATAATGTAAAATTATAAAAGAGATTGTAATCGCTTATGACCATAAAGTTGCACAGCAATTTAAAATAAAATAAATTAATTAAGCAAAGCAAAATTTCTGTTTTCTGGGAAGGACTGCTTAGGAGCTCTGATTAGCCGATGTCTAATTGCAGGATTTAAATTCTCCACATCTTATTACCGGAAGTTACCAATGCATTGATGTTGTAGTACTTGCATTTTCAATGAGTAGACTTCCCGCTTCTCTGTTAATACGATGTATTAGAAAACAAGTATTGATTTTTAATAGGAATATGAATGATTGACTTAAATTTCTATAAATTTACGTTGAAAGTCTTTTCTTTATATGCAATTATAAAAAACGACGGATGCGAGTCAGCATGGCTCACGTTTAGCTATATTATGTATCTTTAAGAGTGTACATTTTTTATTTAGTAGGACATTCTGGAAAAATAACCTACTGGTGTTTATAATATATTCAATAAGGGTATATTATATTCAATTTATAGGTGTCTCAGAATAAATGTTAAAAACTTCTAGGGAATGTAGTGTGTCGTCGTGAATGATCACTTTTTGGCCACTCACCTTTTGCGATATCTCATATAATGAAGTTACACATGTGATATTTGCCCCTGATTGGCAGGCAACTTATCGTGCACTGGTGTTTGGCAAAAACCTTCCTTGTAGCTGCTTAACACCATAACAATAGTGTGTATTGCCCATCAATCAGGGCCCGATCACATGTGTAACTTTGTTATACCAGATTTCCCACGCCATGTTCATTGGCAAAGGTGATTCTTTACAGCACTTTACATACATTAGGAAATTGTAACATTTATTCTGATATATCCTTATACCGCAAGCCAGTCTGGACCTTTTGATATCAGAATGCGACATCGATGTTTTTTACAAAATCATCGATGTATTTAAAACCGATAATATGAATCCAATGTTTTTAACATCGATGTTTTGTGTTCGATGTTTTTACGTGGTCGACATTTTTTAAATGGAAAAATATCCACCAAAAAAAAGATTATAATTTTCAGATATTCACAAATTTAGTGCAATTCAGATCAATGGGAGTAAGACTAAAAAATTAATAAAAACCAGTTTTCGTCATTGAAGAAGCCTATACTATTATTAAATTAATGAATCAGGTAATCGAAGTTTCGTTAATTTTACTGCTGATTTTTTGACTTTGTTTTGTCAGTTAAATCTCAATAAAAATTAATAAACTGTATTACTGTCAAATTAAACCATCAAGCGTGAATGGTTACTAATCCGGTTTCGTAAACAACAATGTTTCAAACTATTGATGGTTTTGGGTACATATTTTACTAACATCGATGTATTAATTTTGAGCATCGATGTGTAGAAACACGGAAGTTTTGTTGGCGATGTCGCATCCCTATTCCTATTCCTATATTGCTACTTTATTGAAGTGCAGCTGGGCGGGGCGCGAACTGACCTGCACCTCGCGGCCCGTGATGGTGCCCTGGTCGGGCAGGGTGACGGCGAGGTCGCGGCCGCGCGGCGCAGCCAGCCCCAGACGCAGGCAGGCGCCGGCGGCG